TGGTAGCCATTAGCTGCATGAGTTTATTAAACACTTAAGAATGAGGAACTGAATTTTTTATTTAATTTTAATCAACTTAAGTTTAAAAACTGATATTAGAATCAGCGATTAGTAAATTATAAATGTTTGGAACAACCTGGGTGAAACTACTGTAAATTTTATGAATTCTAAATACAGATTAGATGTTCCTGATAAAAATTTAGCGTTTGAATAAAGATGTGCTCTAAGTATAAAATGAACACCAGATTTTAAAGATTTAGTACAAAAAAGTCTGAAATGTCTCATTAATTGTTTTTTTTTTGCATTATGTAATTAATGGGTGAAATAATAAAATTTTAAATATATTCAGTTAAATAGCATTAAAATTAATTTCACTTGTTTTTATGCTTTTTTTAATGTGGCAATTAGAAAATCTAAAATTATATGTTGTATTTCTGTAGGACAGAACTGCTGTAGAATTTCCATTGAAACTTAAAAGCACAATAGGTAATGTTTTTTACAATTAGTAGTTAATTAGACTTATTAGTATATTTTTTACATTTTTTTCTTATATACTTTTCCTTCCTTCTAGATTTGTTTTTCTTATTACTAAATTTGATCCTTTAGTAACAGATTCTTGTTGAAAGAAAGACTTTGTTGGAAGTGAACTCTCCTTATGTTTGTATTCTGAAATGGCTTTATTTTGCCATCACTCCTGATTGATAGCTAGGTATAGAATTCTAGGTTGACAGTTTTCCTCAACTCCTTGAATAGTACTCTATATTTTCATACATTTGTATTTGTTGTTGTTGAAGTAATTCTTTATAGGTAATCGGTCTTAACTCTGATAAGTTTAAGGATTTTTCTCATTTTCTTTGATGCTTTGTAGTTTTATTACAATATATCCTGCTGTATTGTCTTGTTCGTTTTGATTTGTTTTCACTTTGTTCCTTGGTGTGAGTGTTCAAATCGAAGAGTCAAGACTTTACTTTGGGAATATAGTCATTGTGTCTTTTCCTTCCTACTGATAACCTCTTTCTCTGCTTCTGAAATGCCTATTAGACGGTTGTGGAGCTTCTCAATTAACCACGTCACCTAACCTCTCTTTTGTTCATCCTTTTGTTGTTCTTTGTTGCATTCTGGGTTAATTCCTCAGCAGTCTATGGCAGTTCCTGCTGTGTCTGGTCTAGAGTTTATCCATGTTTTGAGTTTTTTATTTCAATGAACCTGCTTTTATTTGCTTCAAAATTTCTATTTTGTATGAATCAAAAACATTTAATATGAAACATGCATATGTAGTATCTAGATAAATATGATTTACATAATAATAAACCAGCATCTAGCTTAAGGAATATACCTCTTACCAATGACTTTGTCTTTCCCAGTCAAATTACCCTCCCTTTCCTCAGCAAAAGGTAACCTCTGTCATGATTTTGCAGTTATCATTTGTTATGCTTTTCTTTATAGACTTTCCTTGTATTTGTATTTTCAAACTTTATTTAAAATCATGCCATGACTTCCCTTTTTTGCCCAACATTGTTTGTGCAATTCATCTCTGTTGATGTGCATACCCACAGTTCATTTGTGTTCACTGCTACATATTATTTTATTATATACCACAGTGTATATATCCTCCTGATGACATATATTTAGGTTGTTTCGACTTTTTAATTTTAGCTAAGTATATATTTTTTCAACATCCTTTTATTTCATGCTTTCTATATCCTTGAGTTTTTGGTGTCTCTTTTAAGTATCATATTGTGTAAGTGTTAGTTAACTATATTGTTTATTATTTTTAAGTCTGAAAATCTGATTGAGCAAGCATTCCTTCCCTCCCCACTCCCCATTGTTTTCCTTCTTGGGGTGTGCCAGAGGGGATAAGAAACAAAGCTTAGGGCTGGTACAGGGTAAGAGAACATACAGGAGTATCCTCACATAAGCAGCTTCCTTAAAAGGCACAAGAAACTAACAACAAAAAGTTAAAACATCTCTTGCAGAGATGGATATGTGCATGAGACCTTTTTATTTGACCATGATTTGGGCCCTCTTGACCATTCTTGGTTCAAACTGGATTAGTGTAAGCCTGTTGTGTCTTGGAGAATGGAGCAAGAGCTCCCTTTGCCTTGGCAGTCCCTGCATCCCATCTAACTCTCCTCATCTTTCACATCCACCTGCCAGAAGGTTGAAGTACATCTGAGATCCCCTATATCCACCCCCAACCTTTTGTTTCCCCCTTTTCTTTGTTTTTATTCCTCGCAATCCCTTGGCACAAAAAGCTTTGGGTTTCTGTTTTAATCCCTTAAAACCACGCTCTCTTCCTTCCTGTCTCCAGCCTGTGGCTTAGTGTTAATTGATGGAGAGGGTTATGTGATAAGACAGCTTATAATGGTAGGTCTTTCCAAAATAGTCTACCTGTTACTCTGTGCAGCAAAAACAGATAACCAGTGTGCAGGGAATCTGGATGTAAGGAAATGTGCTCAACTTTAAGGCTCTGTTGAATATAGTTTCATACTGTATAATTCAGTAGACTTAAGATCTTTTTTATCGCATAACCTCTGTATAACAATTTACAGTTTATGAAATGCTTTCTCCAGTATCTCACTTGATCATAAGCAGTACCCTTTGAGTTAGCTGTCATTATCATCTATCATGGATGAAGGAGACTGAGCCACTGTGATCAAGTCACTGTCCCAGATCATACAGCTTCTAGGTAGAGAGCCAAGATTCCAGCCAGGTGTCTTGAGCTCACATCCTGCATTCATACCATTGTATCACACTGATCCCCGGTAAAGATGGATTGTTCCTGACTGCAGATGTATTAAATGCTTGTTAATAGAAAGCTGCTGTGGGAGATTGCCAGAGAAATCAGCTTGGCTAACTCTTCACATCCAGAGCCTTATGTTCATTCATCTGAAGGCATTCACATTTTCAGTGTACCTGCTTTTTTTATACAGTGCCTTTCCAAGTTTCTCTATTTTGAATAATTTGCATCCCATACAAACATTATTAGGTCAGTGTTTAGAGATTGAACTCCATCATATTGCCTGTCACTAATCCACTGCATAGAAAAATATGAAAATAATGTCATTAACATCAGTTTTTCTTATAATAGCTATGTAGTGCTGTGTTAACTGCCTATCAATTACAGGTAAAGAGTACCCTAGACTGAAATCTACTGAGTGACCTGACGGGTCTGAATGAAAGCCCAGCACTCCTAGACAACCAAGGATCTGTCGTAGCCAGAAAGGTTGAGTTTGTAGCCATGGAAGTGAGCAAAGACCAGTGGCCCACCTAGGAATTATCTTCGTATGCTCAGACTAAGATTTTGCCACAACTGACTGATTAACACAAGATCAATGAATGAAATATTCCTGTGCAAGAGAGTAGGGAACAAAAAAGAGAAAACTGTTTCTTCATAGTGGAGAAGGTTCCATGGAGGAGGGGAGATGGTTGATTTGGAAACAAGAGAGAAATCCATGACATGTGAGGTTCTGGAAAGAGGGCATATGATAGGCTATGGGTAACAGGCAGCTCTCAGGAATAGAGAAAGGTCTCTGGGTCCTTTGCCTTGAAGAAAAGCTTTTGTCTTTCCTAAAGACTTTTATGTATGCTTAGGACCTTTGTTTTGCATACTTTTTTTATGACCTAAGTTTTTACATTTAGCATTATTTTATGTGGACTTTTCATGTATTCACATTGCCTAACTTTTTAATGCCATTCACTGTTACATAAATATGCAAATAATAGTTTACTTAATCATTTCTCTATTATTTACTGATACATGAATTGCTTCCACTTATTCCACATTAGAAATAGTACAAATAAAGCCATATTTTTACGAAGAGTTTCTTTTTTTGAGTCCAGATTCCAAAATTGAAATTACTAGGTCATCATATTAGTCCTTTCTGTCTTTTTCATATTGCCAAATTGTTCTTTGAAATGATTATATTAATTTACAGTGTCACTAGCCTCAAACAGTAGGTTTTATGATCTCTTGAATTTTGTTCTCATTTTATCAGATGAGGCATTACCACGTAGCCGTTTTATTTTGCTGAGCCAAACATCGTGTCAAATGTCAGTTTGCTATTTGTATTTTTTTCTAACGGGTGCTCTATTCAGATCAGCAGCCTATTTGTGCCATAGAGACTGAGTATTCACTTTCCAACTTCATGTAGTTTTAAAATGTTAGTCTAGTTTTCTAATTAGTTTGTTTTAATATTATTTAATAACTCTTAGCCAATAAAAAATATTGGGACATGTGGAGTGTCCAATAAATCCAAAGTATATTTTACTTTAAAAATAAAGAAAATATAAGGTATGTTTTTTTCCCATAGTATACACATCCTGTAAAGGAGTCAGTTTTGAGCTGTCACAAGAGGAGACAGGTGCCGCCCCAGGGGATGGATCAAAACCTGGAAATAAATCAGCTGTGGGTGGCACGTTGCCTGGCTGTCATGCCGAGGCTGGGAGTTTAGTAGAGATACTAGAGTTGATAATGGAAAAATAGTAATCTATGATAAATTTGTCAGTTCATATCAAGAAATGGGCTAGAAATCAAGGCTAGGCAAAGATGGGATGAAAATGTGCTTTTGTGGTTGGCCTGGGCTTTACCAGCATCCTGCCCTTATCTTAAAGGAACGGAGTGACTGGAACAAGCAAGTGGAACAAGAGGGTGGCTCCCAGGCATTCCTGCCACTGACCTCTGGCCCCTGTTCTTTAACTGGAGTCGTCAATGATAAATGAAAGTCGCTTAGGGTGAATGCACATTGAGAACAGGGAATCGCATCATTCTTTCACCATTTCTGCTTTAAAAGTCGAGCAGCAGTTACGCAGCTATCTACTGTGTGTGTGCATGCATGCACGTAGGTGTGTACAAGACATACCCTGTTGTAACTTAGTTTTTCTCTGTAAAAAAATCTGTTGGCTTATCTTGTCCTGGGAATGAGGTAACTTTTTAAAAACATTTTTCTGATATGTGTTTTCCAATTTAAATACAATTCACTGAAATGTTTTCTTTCTAGTCTCCAGAGAATACAGAGGGCAAAGATGGATCCAAAGTAACTAAACAGGAGGTAAGTATATCTTTGACATCCTATATTTAATTATTTACATTAAAATGTTTAATATCATTAGGATTGTCTGCATCTGAATGAAATGGGGAGAATCATATGAACAAAGTTTAATATGAATGAACAAGGTTGTTAAGACTACATAAAACAGCGATAAATGTCTATATGTAGTCTCGCTTGGCCTAGATTTGTTTCAGTTGGATATATTGATGAGGCATTTTCCACTTACTGTGTTGTTTATATTTCTACCTATCAGCCCTGCTTTCCGTTAAAGCAGATACTGAGAATTCCTTCTGGGCAAAGAGTAATATAGTAGGTAAATTCATCAAGGAGAACAAAGTCTGCCTTTCACAGCAAGAAAATGAAAGACTGTAGATCTCATAAATTCTATGCTCTAATGAGTAGATTATAAATCAGTTTTTAGGTTCTGAATATTTTGCCTGAGAAGGATCATCTCTAAAATCAAAAACTATAGGCCAGGCGCAGTGGCTCACACCTGTAATCCCAGCACTTTGGGAGGCTGAGGCACGCGGATGATGAGGTCAGGAGATAGAGACCATCCTGGCTAACACAGTGAAACCCCATCTCTACTAAAAATATAAAAATTTAGGCAGGCGTCTGTAGTCCCAGCTACTCAGGAGGCTGAGGCAGGAGAATGGCATGAACCCGGGAGGCAGAGGTTGCAGTGAGCCGAGATCGCACCCCTGCACTCCAGCCTGGGCAACAGAGTGAGACTCCATCTAAAAAAAAAAAAAAAAAAAAAAAACTATAGAGGGATATACAATGTGTCAAAATATTAAAGCTTTTTTTTTTTTTTTTTTTAATTGGGGACACTCTTAGGATATTAGGATACTTAATTAGGCAATGATCCAAAGATATTTTGTATTAAAATTCAGAAACTTCCAAAAGTCCAGAAACTTGGAAGAGATTCTTGGATTTGACCCTCTGTGGTTATTACCATGAACCTCTAAAAAAAGATGGGCGAAACAGTAGGAAATGAGATATAACTTTGATGGCAATCATTCCCTTTGCACAAAGCTTTAGAATAGGTGGAAAACTGCAGCTGTTACCCTTGAACTTATCAACTAAAAGGGGTCATGAGTGAGACAAAAACAATATCTAGTTACAGGTTCTTTGATTGGGTGATTCATAATGTGGTTAATAATTCAGAGGAGTTTGTCATGATACCAAAACCCCTGCACAAGATTTGTACAAGGAAATTCATTCTGCCAAAGTGGAAAATCTTCAACAGAACCTATAAAGAAATAAGTTAAAAGCAAAACAAACAAAACCATCTGTCCCCATGATCCATGTACCTAGCATTCACTGTTTAACAGAGTTTGGAATAATCATGAAGTTTTTTATCCAAAGCAGAGTCACCACACATATGCGAGAACCAACCAAAAAATGATAAGAACCAACCAAAAAGTGATAAATGCTTGAATTTTCTTGGGAAATGGCAAAATGTGATTTTTAGAACAGTTGGCTAAGTATAACTAACCTTAATGTTTTTAAGATTTGGACGCCAAAACAAAAGCATTTGGGTTTTTCCTTAGGGACTGGCATTTAAATTGATTTGTCAGTCAGAAAACCTAGGAACACCATGGCACCCAGTAATCTTTGATTGTCTTCCCAATTCCACTACACCAAAAGCAAATCAAGCTGGTGAGAATATATATATAAAGGATATGTGTGTGGTTTTGTACAGCTGTATTATACATTTTATTTTATTTTGTTTTATTTTATTTTATTTTATTTTTTGAGACAGCATCTCACTCTGTCATCCAGGCTGGCGTGGGTGAGGTGGCGAGATCGTAGCTCACTGTAGTCTCTATCTCCCTGGCTCAAGTGATTCTCCCATCTCAGCCTGGGACTGTAGCTGCATGCTACCACACCTGGCTAATTTTTTTATTATGTTATTATTTTTGTTATTTTTATATTTTATTTTATATCATTTCTATGTATTTTATATATTTTTTGTTAATAAAAATGCTTTCTTAACAAGGCTCTACCTGTCATTTAAGCCAAGGCCAGATTAAAACTCATGATAATGACTTCAGAACATCAACACAGTTATTTAAAAAGTGAAAAGGTCAGTTAGTTTGCTGATGGTTTCGGGTAAAAACTGTCAGTATATTGATTTTTTTTTTCTTTCCCACTGGATTGACTGAATTTTTCAGTTATGTCATCGAGTATGCACCATCTTGACTATGGTAAATGGATAACAGTTACTAAGGGGGATTCTCTTTTGAAAATCCTTTTCCACTGCCATATTAGAAGGCATTGTGCAGGGGACTTGGATGGTAAACAACCAAAATAATACATTATAGTCATTACCATCAACAGTTACAAACCCTTTTACATCCATTATTTTGTCTGGTCCATATAGTAATTCTAAAATGAGAGGAAGCAGATTATTCCTCGATAAAAATGTATAAGCACCTATAATGTGCCAAGCACTGTTCTAAGCTCTCCAGATCCCACAGTGAACAAAACAAGCAAAAATCCCTGCTTTCATGGCACTTCCTTTTAGTGGGAGAGAGAGTAAAATAAAATGATTGAATATTAACTATGAAGATAAACAAAGCAAGGAAGGCGAATAGTGAATGTCAGAGAAGTGCTATTTTGGAGGACAGATTGGCAGATGTTATCCCTATTTTAACTAGAGCAAAGTTCTCAGAGAAACATGATTTTCCCTGGGTATTAGAACTTGTAAATAGCAGAACCAGGATAGATATCTGCATCTCCTGCTCCAAAATCCGCTATCCCTATGGCCCTTTTATGGCAGTCCTAAAAATCTGGTAATCCAGTATCCATTTTTCTGTCTTGTCTATTCCCAGCCAAGGCTCTGAGGTACAAACTTTTCTACTTCCCAGTTTTGAAAAGAAGGCAATTTCTTTTTAAGTTTTTTTTTTTTTTTTTTTTTTTAATAGAAGCAACTTGACTTTTGGGTTTTGCTTGGAGGTACATGGTCAGGCTCAGGAGCAAAAAAATCTCTTAAAAATAAAAATACTCCCACATTCCAAAGGAATGGTCCGTGTGTTTCAAGCAGTATCCAGCAAAGTACAGTAATTCTATTGAATGTAGCTATCCCCGTGTACTTTGTCATTGGGAGATTAGACTTCTATGTTTTGCAACCAGGATATTAAAGTAGAAGATTTCATGTCTTTCAGAGTAGGCTTCACCAGAATTTTCCCCAACCTAAAGGATGATCATGCCTATGGGATGATGCCTATGGGATAATTCCATTGTGACCAGCACCTATATACCGTAGTGACAAACCCTCACATTTGTCATATCTGTTTGTCATATTTATCAATGATGATTTTTCATTCTAAAAGCCCTCCTTCCCTCCCTGAGAGGTAGTAAAATAATTGGATATTGGCAATTAAGAAAAACAAAGCAAGGAAGGGGAATAGTGAATGTCAGAGAAGTGCTGAGGAGCAGTCTCTGGACCACTTTTCCTGAGGATTCACAATAAAAAAAAAAAAGAGAGAAATTCTTAATATCTTTTTTTTTTCCTTAGCAGTCCCACCCAATCTGAGTCTCAGATGAGTACTTCACATGTTAGTGTTTTAACAGGGAAAAAATAGCAGTCTCATCTATTTCATATCCAATAAATATAGTCCCATAGTTTATAGATTTTAAGGCTGTGAAAGCTGATGGAACTTTCCAGGAAGGTGTCCATACTTGCATGCATAATCAGTACTGCTGACTGTGAGTGAAACGTTCATCTCAGCCTCCACTGTTTGCAGTGAAAATGAAAATGTCTTATGATGGCTACTGGAAAAGAAAATGTAAGAAAGGTCTTTTTTAATGGCATAGAAAGAAGAGCTGGGAAATTTTAGGTAGCAAGTCATAAATTGATTTTATAATAAAAGATAGGATTTTTAGGGACTGGCTACAGCTTAGGCTTTTGTTTTTGTTTTTGTTTTTTCTCCCTCATTAATTTCCTAGGCTTTTTATTTTGGAACTCCTGTACTGGACCTGAATTTTTAAAAGGTATTAAGTCCTTTGGATCAGAACAACTGTTAGGCTCTGCAAAGCAGTGCTTAGATTGGAATGTCTCTGGAAATCCCAAAGAGCTCTCTGGCATCACTTAGTCTTCAGCATGTTCAGGTGTTCACATGGAGAGGAACAACAGTGTCACAGTTGGGGAGCTTTTCTCATGATTTTGCCTCACTTCATGGAGATTTTATTCAAGACAACTAGATGGCAGATAGGGAGGCAGTTTTGAGTTATGGCTAACATGTTTGGCCCCTTTTCAGGCCCCAAACTAAAGAGTAACTGAGTAGTGGCTCTAGGACTTCTTCCCCTCCCCACAAGTTCACAGTTGCTGTATGTTTCTGGTGCTTACTCCTTCTGTTCATCTCAATACTTATTGAGGGCCCCTGCTACATATTGGAGCCACAGAAATACAAGAGAAGGTGGTCCTGTGCAAGAGGGGATGGAGACATGAGTCAGATGAAGTGAATGTGAGGCAAGACCAACATGGTGCACATGAGTTGACATCAAGTGGAGAGGGAGTCAGATAAGGTTCTTTGACCTCTCTTTAGCAGGGAGACTGCCACTTTCATCTTGGAAGGTGTTGTTCTGCCTGCTGTAGTTTGTCAGACATGGGTTGTCCTTGAGGCCACACTGAAGCTTCAGAGCTGAGCTCTGTTGGGTAATTGGAAGGTGCTCTTTTCTCCTCTATGCTCAGAAAGTACATTAAAAAAACACAAGATACCCTCTTGTTGCCCGGTTTACTTGCAAATGTTGTCTTTTCTTCAGTATACTCAATACAGTTAACCATCCTAGGAAAAGTATTGCAGGATTTGGATTCTGGTTCCCAGGGACTTGTGGGTGCACTGTCAGGAATACACCCTTGAGAACCATAGCAGGCACTGTAGTTCCTATGGAGAATCTGACACACACTCCCCCTGTACTAATTCACAGGGCTATGTGCTGAGCTTACATGCTTTTACTCTGTGCAGTGAGTGTATCCCACCCAACCACTTAACCTGCACAGCCTCTCATTCTCAGCACATTCTCGTAGCTGGCCTTAAGTCCAGCTCTGATTTTTCCTCGAGACCCCAGGGTTAAAAGTATTCATGGAGGCTCTGGCCCTTCATTTCCTTCTGTAGTTTAAAGAAAGATGAGTTTAGCTTCTCTGGCTATTTTCAGCAAGAAAGTTCTTAGATGTGGAGATGGCAAGAAATATTTCTTCCAGTTTGGCCTGACTGGCTGACCTAGACTGACCTTAGCCCCACTTCAAGAATTCCATGATTCCTCATAATTATGGCATGGGTTCCTACTGACCATTTTTGCTGTCCCCCTTAGGAAAAATTATTTGAAACATTTAAGCTATTATACTGAGGCAAATTCTACATGAGGAAGTGAGAACTAGGGAAAGGCTTGGATTCATTTATTCAGCAAATACTGAGTTTATACTGTATGTTGGCCAGTACACTACTGTACTGGAGATGGAGCAGTGAATTAACCAGACAAAAAGTATGGAGTATTTATTTCTGGAGCACTTTTTTAAAAAGGCAGTTATACTTTTACAATGTGAAATCCCTTGGGGAGCCACTGTAGGTTGGATGGTAAGTAGAATATCAAATTTTGTGTGTTATTGCTGAAATGCCTAGGACAGTTCTTTCAATTTAGATTTTCTTTGCAGGGTCATTTGCTGTTAACTTGTAATATCCTTGAAGAAAAAAAGATTTCCCCAAAATATCAATCTCTACACAATTTCTCTGTAAATTTTCTAAACTTTGAAATTAAAAGAAAAAATTAATGCACTTTTAATTCTAGTTAAATCCTTTGAACGTATACTACTAGATAAATGTGTTTGTTTTGTTATCGGTAAAAAGAAGGCTTTCTAGTTAACTGCCAAGATTTGTAATCATTTTCATTTCTAACATAGCAGCAAGATGGGGAACTCCTGCTATTTTGGTTTCTACACAATTGCATAAGTCTCTTCTTGTATTAACTTAAAAGCTTTAGTTCCATTTTTAAGGAGCTGGAGTCAGACTGAAGACTAGCTCTTAAATAGCACCTCAATGTTCTTGCTGTTGATTTTGTCATAAAAGTAGAGGTTTTAATTCGGGATAAAGCCTAAATTGATCTTCATTTCCCTTACTTATTCACCACACCCTGAGTTGGGAGTAGCTGTTTATTTGAACAGTGTACCTACCCCTTTTTAGAAATACTTCCTCTTGAGTGTCATGGTGCCCAGGGGACTTGGGATATGTTTCATTGTGCTTACCTGGAGAAGGTGATGGGAATCATACATTATAGTCATTCAACAAAGTAAGGTATATTAAGAATAGATTTTTAAAAATCAACTTCGTTTTGTATAATCACCAAAAAATATGTATATTTTCCATTCCCTTTGTAGCCCACAAGACGGTCTGCCAGATTGTCGGCGGTAAGTACCTTAGAACCACTTTAGCGTTAGTTCTTATGAGTACATGGTCCCTTTGTCCAAAGTGAAGCAGCAAAAGGAAGATTAAGATGGTTTCCCATGAGTTTATTTTCTTTTTGAAAATTATCTAGGGTCCTCACATCTAGCAAATTTGACCAGTGTTACCAAGCAATTGACTTGATCAAATGTGTCAGACAGTGGCCAGCCCCATTACGAAGGATATAAAGCAGGATGTTATTTGACATTGCTATATCTCTGACACAAAAGTAGTATATTAGGCAAAGTTCCAGTCTTCAGATTCTACCTGTGATGCAGTGAAGTGGACAGAATTCTTATTCTCTGTCCACAACTCATACTTTAGAATGTTTATATGAGAATGTTCTGAAAGTTGTCTGAATCCATATACTGTAGCCTCATTTCAGACCTTAAGAATCTTTGTAACAGTAATAATTCTACTTCGCTATTTGGAGTCTCCTTCTGTGAGCCAGTAAATTCTTGTGGGGTTAGGATACAAGCTGAGATGGGCAGATGTGGCTGAACCTCCAAGGTGGACATCCTCCAGCTCTTCCTCATCAGCCTGTGCTCCCTACTGGCTCTTATGCTCTTCTCTTTCGCTGCCCTGCTAAGAGATTAGCTGGACTCCAGCGGAGGATTTTGTTTAAAATTCCTGCAGCCCAGGCTTTCCACTAAGAAGGTAGAGGGAAACGCACTGGTATTTTGACTGACACTATATTAGTATATCCTCATACTAGCTATTACAGAAGCTTCATGCTACTTTGGTCTTCAGGAAAGCATGGATTTCATTCTCAACCCAAATCTGTGTCTGGTACAATATAGGGAATCAAAGCAAAAATAGGTATTAGGACCACTCACAAGTTCGGAAATACAGCTGTTTGGATCAGGTGAGCCAGTGTTTCACGTGAGTCTCATAAGGAAGTGTATTAGTCTGTTTTCACACTGCTGATAAAGACATACTCAAGACTGGGCATTTTACAAAAGAAAGAAGTTTAATTGGATTTACAGTTCCATGTGGCTGGGGAAGCCTCACAATCATGGTGGAAGATGAGGAGCAAGTCACATCTTACGTGGGTGGCAGCAGGCAGAGAGAGAGAGAGCTTGTGCAGGGAAACTCCCATTTTTAAAACCATCAGATCTCATGAGACTCATTCACTTTCATGAGAACAGTGCAGGAAAGACCTGCCCCATAATTCAATCACCTCCCACCAGGTTCCTCCTATGACACATGGGAATTGTGGGAGTTACAATTCAAGATGACATTTGAGTGGGGACATAGCCAAACCATATCATTCTGCCCGCAGCCCCTCCCAAATCTCATGTCCTCATATTTCAAAACCAAACATGCCTTCCCAACAGTCCCCCAAATCTTAACTCATTTCAGCATTCACTCAAAAGTCCAAAGTCTCATTCAAGACAAGACAAGTCCCTTCTGCCTGTGAGCCTGTAAAATCAAAAGCAAGTTAGTTACTTCTAGGGTAAAATGGGGATACAGATATTGGGTAAATACCACCCTTCCAAATGGGAGAAATTGGCCAAAACACAGGGGCTACAGACCCCGTGCAAGTCTGAAATCCAGCAGGGCAGTCAAATCTTAAAGTTCCAAAATGATCTCCTATGACTCCTTTTCTTGCATCCAGGTCACGCAGATGCAGGACATAGGTTTCCATGGTCTTGGGTAACTCCGCCCCCGTGGCTTTTCAGGATACGTCTTCCCTCCTGGCTGCTTTCACAGACTGGCATTGAGTGACTGTGGCTTTTCCAGGCACACAGTGAAAACTGCCAGTGGATCTACCATTCTGGGGTCTGGAGGGCAGTGGCCCTCTTCTCACGGCTCCACTAGGCAGTTTCCCAGTAGGGACTCTGTGTGAGGGCTCCAACCCCACATTTCCCTTCTGCACTGCCCTAACAGAGGTTATCCATGAGGACCCTGCCCCTGCAACAACGTCTGCCTGGGCATCCAGGTGTTTCCATACATGTGAAATCTAGGCAGAGGTTCCCAAACCTCAATTCTTAACTTCTGCGCACTCGCAGGCTCAGCACCACACGGAAGCTGCCAAGGCTTGGGACTTCCACCCACTGAAGCAACAGCCCCTGTACCTTAGCCCCTTTTAGTCACAGCTGGAGCGGCTGGGAGACAGGGCACCAAGTCCCTAGACTGCACACAGCAGAGGAACCCTGGGACCCTGGGTCAGGCCCACAAAACCATTTGTCCTCCTAAACCTCTGGGCCTGTAATGGGAGAGGCTGCTGCAAAGCTCTCTCACATGCCCTGGAGACATTTTTCCCATTGTATTGTGCATAGCATTTGGCTCCTCATTACTTATGCAAATTTCTTCAGCCGGCTTGAATTTCTCCTCAGCTCAGAAAATAGGATTTTCTTTTCCGTCACATTGCCAGGCTGCAAATTTTCCAAACTTTTCTGCTCTGTGTCTCTTTTAAAACTGAATGCCTTTAACAGCAGCCAGGTCACCTCTTGAATGCTTTGCTGCTTTGAAATTTTTTCCACCAGATACCCTAAATCATCTTTCTCAAGTTCAAAGTTCCATGGATCTCTAGAGCAGGGGCAAAATGTTGCCAGTCTCTTTGCTAAAACATAACAAGTCACCTTTGCTCCAGTTCCCAACAAGTTCCTCATCTCCATCTGAGACCACCTCTGCCTGGATTTCATTGCCAATATCATTATAAGCATTTTGGTTAAAGCCATTCAACAAGTCTTTAGTAAGGGTCAAAGCCGTTCAGCAAGTCTCTAGAGAGTTCCAAACTTTCCCACATTTTCTTGTCTTCTTCTGAGCCCTCCACACTGTTCCAACCTCTGTCTGTTACCCAGATCTAAAGTCACTTTCACATTTTCAGTTATCTTTCAGCAGCGCCCCACTCTTCTGGTACCAATTTACTGTGTTAGTCCATTTTCACACTGCTGATAAAGACATACCCAAGACTGGACAATTTACAAAAGAAAGAGGTTTTATTGGACTTACAGTTCCATGTGGCTGGGGAAGGCTCACGATCATGGAGAAAGGCAAAAGGAGCAAGTAATGTCTTACGTGGATGGTGGCAGGCGAAGAGAGACAGAGCTTGTGCAGGGAAACTCCTGTTACTAAAACCATCAGATCTCATGAGACTCATTCACTAATCATAAGACCTGCACAGGAAAGACCCACCCCTGTAATTCAATCACCTCCCACCGGGTTCCTCGCACGACACATGGGAATCGTAGGAGTTACAGTTCAAGATGAGATTTGAGTGGGGACACAGCCAAACCATATCAGGAAGACGTGTCAGTCACTAGGAGGACTTAAGAGCTGGGGTTGCTGTTGTGAATCTCCAGGCAGTTAAGGGAACACACCTTGTAAGTCAAATGAAAACCAAAATTTAAAACGAAGCTTTTCCTGAGCACCAGAAACCAGCAATATAAGCACCTTCCACTGAGATCATTCCGTGTGCTACGGAAACAGAGCCTCCTCAGAGGCCAGCAGGATTACGGACTTCATAACCTCATTTCCTGGTCCCATCAAAACACTTGAATGCTGGGTCAGAGGGAAAGGTCTGCCCTACAGAAAATAATATAAAAGGAAATTGTTTACTGTAAATGGAGAAAACATGTATATTAATACAGTATATCAAAGCTTAGGATGACAAAATGTTTTAAATTCTGAAAATGTAAGAACCATGAAAGCTGCTATATTTGGGCTGCAGATTTAGGGTGATAAGAAGATTAATAAAAACATCTCTTACTTTTCAAGCTCAATTTTCTTTTTATTTGAAAGGTCATTTCTAACAGCCAATCTTCTGAAATCGAACTGTCTACAATTTCCCTTTATGCACTTGATGAAAAGGGGCAGATTCAGTGTGAACCTGAATTACCTAGAGGCAGTAGGGAGGAACATGTATTTTTCTCCATAGGGGGAGACCCTGGCCAGTGTTTTCTATTTTAAAACCATTCTAGTGCTGGGAGAGATGTACACTTTTTTCTAGTTCTATGAGAGAAATATTTGCCCTAAAGTATCTACAGAAAACTCCTGGAGTCAAATGGTTATCTTTTCCAGTTATCCGCATGTGCCACCTGGTCTCAGGCCCCTGGGAAGCTGGCCAGGGCTGAAGCATTGTGTGGCAGAGGGACCGTGGTCACACGGTGTGTGAGTGCTGCTCATGGGAACTGGAGGGAGGACCACATGAGGCAGGAAAAAATAGTTTCCTAGGGGACTCTTTGGCTAATAATATCTGTGAAAAATTTTAAACTTTGGGAGCTAACAGTAGACATTTTATCATTATAATTATGTTCTCAATGAAAACCTCTAGGGACAAATGAGCCCAGCATATCTGGTTAGGCAAAAGATTCTCACCTTGAGCTGGCATTGGAGAGAATAAAAGTAGGAAGAAGCTTGGCAACAGAAACTCGAAATCTACATCAGAAGTGGAAGGATTTGGAAGTGATTTTGAAATACTTCACAGGCAGCAGTCTTCATTACCAGCTGGGCTTTGCTAGTGATTGTGCTGTGATTTCTAGATTGTTAGGAAGGCCAGTGCAACTGAATTCACTGAGTCCTTTGGCCACGGGCCTGAGTCATCCCTCTTGCTGCTGTGCTGTGATAAAAGGAAGAACAGACACGTAGGAGATAGAAGCTTAGACCTGTTCCCGGAGAGCTATTCTGGACCAGGGAATGAGGAGTCAGCTTTTCGATCTCACCTGCAGTTCCCTTGTGAACCCAGGGTGAAAATAGTTATGAAATGCAGAGATCTTTATGCTGTTACCTGGTGCTGAAAATAGGATGAAATACTTTTTAATGACCAAGGCCTTGTCAAAATGCATAGTTGTCTTTGTTAGTCTTTTTGCGTTTCTTTTGGTGCTGACAGTTGTCTTTTTCAGTATTTGTGTAATTTAAATTATCTTTGCAGAAACCTGCTCCACCAAAACCTGAACCCAAACCAAGAAAAACATCTGCTAAGGTAAGAAGTGCTGTTTCCCACTTTTGGCTTTTTAAACAATGAACAAATTATAATTCCCTACCTCAGAATCATTCAAGGAAAGGCCATATTTAATGATCCAAGCTAAAACCGTTACCACTGTTATGGGCTTTCTTAAAGGCATAAAGCACAGTTTTCTGCCTTAATAGGAGTGTGTTTTCCATTTGGTCAGTGAGGCACAGGAAGTCAGAGATGTTGCTCTGAGAAGCCTCGTGTCCAAAGGGGGTTTGGCAGCAGCAGCCTCGTGAACATGCGGTTCACATGGCGCGCAGCGGGGGTGAGTTTGGGCCCTGGCAGCACTGCCTTACTATGGGAGGAATTTGGGAAGGGGCTTCTGACTTCATCTAACTGGATTTTGCCAGCCAGTCTGAGGTCTAATAATAACAATATAATAATGCCAGCAGGTAATACTAGCATTTATAAGGCCCTTAGAGTATGGCAGATATGGTTGATTGCTTTACTCATACGACCTTCACATAAACTCTATTGAAGTAGATACAAATATCCTGTTTTGCAGATGAGGAAACTGAAATACAGAATTCTTAGGGAACTTACCCAAAGTGGCTTTTCTGCTCTCTACCCTTCGGTATTGTCCCATGTGAATTGTTTGAAACTTACGTGTATAGTGGTGTGAGTAGGTGATTTCAGAAACAGAACTCACTTTTGTTGTTTGGTCTTAAAATTAGGAACTTTGCTTCATCTGGGCTGCATTTCCTGGCACCTTCCCAGCTTTCTAGTCATGCAAGCCATGTGTCTCCACGTGAGGGGTTTCACTGGAAAGCAGCAGCAGAGCCACCCCCTGGCTGGGTTCTCCCCCAGCTCTGCCTCCTCCTTCCCCAAGTCCTGCTGCTGCTGTCTCCATGGCAGAACCACTTCTCCCCTTACTGGAGGGGAGGTCCACTGAACAAATCCAGGAGAGGAATCATTGTGTTTTCCACAGAAGAGAAAGTACACTGGACTTTCTGTGCAACCTGTTATTACATTTTCACAGAGACTCATATTTGTGCAGTACAGCTCAGCTGAAACCCAGCAAAATTGGGCTCCCGTGTCTCCATAAAGGCCACCATGATGGTGATGGTTGTACTTCACCTTGTGTTTGGACAGAGGCTGATTGATTTTGGCCATCATCACACCATGTCTAATATTCTCTTCCCCTCTGCTTTGATCCCCTGTTAGAAAGAACCTGGAGCAAAGATTAGCAGAGGTGCTAAAGGGAAGAAGGAGGAAAAGCAGGAAGCTGGAAAGGAAGGTACTGCACCATCTGAAAATGGTGAAACTAAAGCTGAAGAGGTACTTTTCATAAATACCTCCCACTGATTGAATCAGTGTCTTTAAAGAAATTTCTCAATCCTTCAGCCGGTGATAGCACGTTCTTAATGTCTCTTTTTATTGCCTGTAATGTTATTGCAGATCCACATCTCTCGCTCAACTGTTAATGTCTCAACCTCCAGAGGCACCCCACCCAGCACACTGTCAGTAAAGGGGCAGATTGAAACAGTGAGAGTTAAGGGTACAGTAGAAAATTCTGCATGTTTGCAGTGACTAGAATCAGATAGTAGTGTGGTGGTTTTTTGTTTTTTGTTTTTTTTTTAATTATCATGAAGAGTGGGAGCTTGCAGGTAAGGCTTCTGTGGTTGTTTGAAAAGCAGAAAGCAATAAATGCAAGAAAGTGTTTGTGTAATGTATTCCTGCTTTGTCTCTTCTTCACTCAGAGTTGAAATAGGTTTTGCAGTAAAGCTGGAAGAAAAAAAGAAAACAAATGTTCAAAACTGTGTGTTTGTGTGTGGAATTTCCTTTGCTTATAGTAGTTTTAGTAGTAACTATATTTTTTTTTCCTTTCTTTTTCACAGGCACAGAAAACTGAATCTGTAGATAACGAGGGAGAATGAATTGTCATGAAAAATTGGGGTTGATTTTATGTATCTCTTGGGACAACTTTTAAAAGCTATTTTTACCAAGTATTTTGTAAATGCTAATTTTTTAGGACTCTACTAGTTGGCATACAAAAATATATAAGGATGGACATTTTATCGTCTCATAGTCATGCTTTTTGGAAATTTACATCATCCTCAAGTAAAATAAATATCAGTTAAATATTGGAAAGCTGTGTGTAAGATTGATTCAGCATTCCATGCACTTGCTTTAAAATTTAGTCCTGTGCATACTGTGGTGTTTTTACTGTGCATATTTGAATTTTTCATGCAGTTTTTCTAGAGCAATAATCAGTGGTGCTTTTGTACCTAGGTTTTATGTGATTTTAATGAAACATGGATAGTTGTGGCCACCTGCTGACTATTTGTGGTTTAAAATAAAAGGTTTACTTGTCTGCAAAATACCTGACTTTTAGTATCTTTACTGCATTTTGGGAGTGTTTCATTTTATTGTTGCAGAAGATATAAAGAATTTTGATGGACCTTGCCATAGCGGTATCTCCAATAAGTCAAATAAGATTGTTTCTTAATTTTCTGGCCTTTAACGTTGTTACTATTTTAATAAAATCATCTATGAATGCTGCTGTAGAAGAATTACATCTAATTCACTTTATACCAGAAGTGGCCAGCAATGATTACTGTATAATAAAACTTCATAAAGCACTAATTTTTTAAAATCCTTATAAATAGGATATAGTTCTGCTAAATCAAAGCTAGTAAAAAAAAAAAAAAAAAAACATAAACTGAGGCTCAACTTTGAAAATCTCCCACTTTCAAAATCATAAATACTAAGTCACATTTGTATAAAATCCTTCGCATTCAGTTGAGGACTTCACAGCTTTGAAAGTGCTTTACCCAACATGAGCATGTTTCAGCCTTGCATCAGTTTGAGAATGGAGTTGGCACGGGTGTATTAGAGCTCCTTTCTAGGATAAGAAATGGAGATGTGGAGTGTATTTGACTTACTGGAAGGAGAAAATCCAGGCTGGAGTCTTTTGAATTTTAAACAGTGTCTTTATGTCTATGAAAGGACATAGCAGTGCCAGGAACAGAGGAGTTATTTTATATGTGTTATTTTTTGTTGTTGTTTGCAACCTGAGAAGTTTGGTAACTGCATCAGCACCCCAGGAAAGCTGAATTATGGGCATTCGGCTTAAATGAAGACTTGAATCTTTTAAGATGGCAAGTAGTGCCTGTGCTGCTCAGGGACTCCTGCAAAGAAGCTGTTGTTCCTTTGGGCCTTAGGTGCTTTTATGTTGTGCTTATCAACAAAGTTCCTCCTCCAGATTATATTTTGGGGCTAAGAACTTAAACTTGTCTCCTTGTCCCAAGTCTGTCATTAGTTGACTGCATATATCAACCGTATTATATACAGAATAATCTTGTTCATAGTTTACTTGGTTTCTGAGTATGAAACATACCTTAATTCATGAGTTTTGGACATGCTAAAAACTGCTTTACCTCGAAGAAAAATATCTAGTATGCAGTGAACACTTTACAAAAATATTTTCAGTATACAGTTAGTACTCAGTTGGAGTATATTGCTGGCTAGTTTCCAGTCCAGAAGTGAACCATAAATTCCCTAGGTTTACTTTTTAAAAAATTAAGTAAGTGATACCAGTGATTAAAAAAAGACCAAATACTACAATAATACATAAAGCAAAAAGTCAAAATCTTTTTTCCTCCCATTCCTACATCCCAGAGATAATCACTGCACACTATTTTGTCTAGTTTGTCTTTCTCGTGTGTGTGTGTGTGTGTGTGTGTGTGTGTGTTAGGGTTATGTATATACACACATACATATGTATATATAATTTTTAAAAGAATGAATCACTATCCTATTTTGAATTTATTCAATCTGTAGTTGGAGAAATAGATCATTTCTAATATTACAGTGCTGCCAATACAAACATGCCTGTATCCAAAGCTTTGCCTACCTATGTATTTCTTCTCTCAACTAAATAACTTCCCAGAAGCAGAATGTCTGAATCAAAGGGAATATACATTTGACATTTTGACTGCCTCCAAAAAAGATGTACCAATTTCCCCTTCCATCACCAACATATGAATACCATCTCTTTCCACCTTTGCCAGCACTCATTTTGGTCAGTCTAATAAATGAAAATATGCCTCACTTTTAGTTTTAAATGTATTCTATTACTAGTAAAATTGAACTTTTTCTGTTTAATGGTCATTTGAATTTCTGTGAATTCTGATTTTGTCTTTTTCTATTGGGGAGTCAGTGTGTTTTAAATCATTGTTACTCATAACAACCATTGATGCTATTACTATTATTAATAGTGTGCTATTATAGTATGCTATTATAGTAATAGTAGCATCAACTATTACTATTATTACTGTTAGTAATAGCATCAAACACACAAAGATCAGGGGTTCTATAGGCTATTGATGTCTACTTAAGTACAATAAATGGATATCATGGCCACATTGACAAAATGAGCAGATACCATAGAGACCACAGCTACCCACAATAACCCAGGATCCCCCAAATTGGTCCCCCAGAACTTGAAGATTTGATGAATATACTGCCAAAGATAAGGACACACTACCTTCAACTACATGGAAGTTGTGGGACTCTCCATGCACTGCCCCACTGCTACCCCTTTGGTGAATTTATAGAAAATTAGGAAAAGGTTCTCCTTCTCTAAGACACTTGTCTGCTAATTTTCTGGAGAATTATAAAAGCCCTATGAATCTACAATCGCTTTGAGTCAAATGGTGCCCCCTGTAATTGAGTTGCACTATTTGTACACTTGACATTTACTGCACACTTAAAATTCTCTCTGGAGGCTACCCCATGGATTCTGGTGCAGCAAGAGTGGGCATGTGGCCCTGGAATCCCCAACTGTAAGTTCTGTGAAAAGTTAATCTGAACCAAAAGTCAAGATACAATGGTCAAACAATAGGTGAACCATCCCATAAAACCTTAAATGTGTGTTTACATAATTAAGAAGTTGGAAATAGGTATGAAATGAAGGTTTCTATCCCCAAATTTTAGGGGACATAACTGTTGGTTAGAGGTACAAATGCTATCCCTTAGGTTGACCAAAAATAGTGCGCTTAGAAAAGCTGTCTCACCTCAGCTATCACATGCTAACATGTCTCTTTTTTGACTGTGTTTCCTTTATCATGAGTGCCAAACTTTCATTATTTTCTATTTATTATTTTATGCAGAATATTGATTTAAAATCTTAGCATGGTTATAATGATTAGGATAATAATAGCCAGAATGTGTTTAAGGTCCTGTAATAAGCACTTTACATAAATAATTTTAATTTAGAAGAAAATGTTTAATTATTTATCTAAATGTAATGTTCCTGTCCCCTAGTAAAAATAAGCCCAATTTTACAACACCAAATAGAGACTTAAGCTCACTTAAAGCCATAAAGGGAACTTTGTGATTATGCATCTCTTCCCTCATGGGAGAAGAGAAAGTCTTTGAAAGCCCAGTTTTAAAATGATACTTACATGTATATCTTCATGACTTTAAATTAGGCAGTGATTTCTTAGGTTTGACATCAAAAGCACAAGAAACTAAATTAAAAATAAGTAATTTAGGCTGGGCATGGTGGCTCACATCTGTAATCCTAGCACTTTGGGAGGCCGAGGGCAGATCACCTGAGGTCAGGAGTTCGAGATTATCCTGGCCAACATGGTGAAACCCTGTCTCTACTAAAAATACAAAATTAGCCAGGTGTAGGGGCGTGTGACTGTAGTCCCAGCTACTAGGGAGGCTGAGACAGGAGAATTGCTTGAACTCAGGAGGTGGAAGTTGCAGTGAGCTGAGATCATGCCATTGCACTCCAGCATGGGCGACAGGAACAAAACTCCATCTCAGAGGGAAAAAAAAGCAAAAGATTTCAATAGACATTGCTCCAAAAATGGATACAAATGGCCAGTAAGCACATGAAATATGAGAGGATAGTCAACATCATTAGTAGGGAAATGCAACTGAAAACCGTAATGAGGAATCACTTTATACCCACTGGGATGGCTATTATAATAATTTTAAAGGAAAAATAGTGAGTACTGGAGAAGATAGAGAGATTTGAGCCTTCGTTCACTTCTCGTGGGACTGTAAAATGGTAAGCCTCTTTAGAAAACGGTTTGGCGGCTCCTCAAAAGTTAAACGGTTACCACATGATCCAGCAATTCCACTCCTAGGTACATCCTCAAGAGAACTGAAAGCATATGTTCACACAAAAACTTGCACATGAATGTTCATAGTAGCATTATTGCTAATAATGAAAAAGTGGAAACCAATCCAGATGTTCATCAACTGATGAGTAGATAAACAAATGTAGTATGTCCATAAAATGGAATAGCCATAAACAGGAATGAAATATTGATACATGTTACCACACAGATAAACGTTGGAAACAAAATGCTAAGTAAAAGAAGCCAGATGTAAAAGGCCACCTATATGAAATGTCCAGAATAGGCAAATCCATAGAGACACAAACTAGAATATTGGTTGCCAGGGGATGGGGGAGGGAGGAAAGGCAGGTGGCTACTAAAGGGTGCAGGGTGTCTTTTGTAATGTCCTGGAATTAAATAGTGGTGATGCTTGAACAACTTCATAAATATACTAACAACTACTGACTTGTATTCTTTTTAAAAAATGACTTTTCATAAGCCTACTGAGAGCACAGGACTTAGAATCAGGAGGCCTGAGCTTAAATCCCGGTACTATTTCTCAATAATTGTGTGAACTCAGAAAAGTCATTTAAGTTCTAGCTCTCAGTTTTCTCTGTAAAATAAAGATAGTATCTGTTTGACAAAGCTGTTAGGATTGAATGAGATAGTCACTGTGAAATCACCTGGTGCAGTGTCTAAAATACAGTAGGTTTTCCACAAATAACAGTTGAACTCATTGGATGAATACAAACGGGCTATGTAGCCATCTTCCGATGAGTATATACCATGTATTTTTGTCAGAGGCAGTGGGTATCTCTTGAACAATGCAAAGGAATTGTGCTCCTCTTAGAAGGCAATATATTATAATCGTTAAACTTGTGAACACTGAAGCCAGGCTGGGTTCAAACTTGTCTTGGTTACTTACCAGCTGTATGACCACAAGAGTTTACTCAGTTATTTATATTTTAGTATTTTTATATATAAATGGGATTTAAAATGGTACTTACTTTATAAGGTGTTTAGAAGTGTTAAATGGCACAGATTTAAGTGTTCAGGGAGTGATGTGGTTTGGCTGTGTCCCCACACAAATCTTATCTTGAATTGTAGTTCCCGTAATTCCCAACTGTTGTGGGAGGGACCAGGTGGAGACAGTTGAATCCTGGGGCAGTTTCCCCCATCCTGTTCTCATGATGGTGAATTAGTTCTCATGAAATCTGATGGTTTTATAAGGGGCCTTCCCC